TGTAGGTATTGACAAGATGGGTTTGAGATGGGATAATTATGAATAGAAGCTGGGAGCCCAATTAGGGAAGCAAAGTCCTGAAATAAAAATGAGGAACTTCGTAGAATCTTCACATTTGTGGAAGGGACGGGTCATGTTTAATAACAAACATTAACACTGTGCAAATGTTTATCATATTTGACCCTTAAAACATTCTTATAGAAAAAAGCCTATGTTATTCTCATGTCATTTGTAAGAAGAGCAAGGGTTGGAGAGGTTGAATCATTTTTAAATTAGCTTGATCAAGTTCACACGCATGGCTGGTGGAAGAACTGAGATTCGAATCCAGGTGGTTTAACTCCTAAATTGATCCTCAAAGAGAAATCCACTATAGTGCCTCCAGGTAAGGTATTCTGAAGGAGATCAGTGTCTAGTGACTTACATGACACTAGAGATGAAGTCACTCTATTTTGAGCTCAGCATCATCTACTGAGAAGGAGGCTGTCATGAAGTAGAACTGATGAACATTGTGGGCAAAAATAGCCTCAGGTATTAGGACCACCCTACTGAAATGTGGTCAGAATGCCATACCCAATGTTCTATGTGATTGCTGTATTTTGGAATTGGTCTGTCATTCTCTGGAGAAATCAGGAACACGCTGCAGAAGTGCTCCTGAAGGAACATGGACTTGTAAAGCACTAGATGAGTCCCATCGGCCTGTGATGGCCAGGGAGATGCATCTGACTTCTACACTTCGGCTGAGATTGAGGCCAACTGTGCTTTGTATTGCTTTCTAAGTTAATTCTCTCATTAGCAGAGAAAGGGCAACACAAGACTAACCAATGGCCGACATTTAGAGAGGATGTAGCTGAGAGAAGTATGTGCCTATCTGCCATGAGTTTGAGATCATATTTGATCTCACAATTCTTACTTAGAAGTTATTAACTTTTCCTCAAAACCAATAATAATAGTAATAAATAATAATAATAATAATAATTTCTCCTTAGAAGAGAGAGAGACTGAGAATGAACTTTCTAGATGATAAGCACCATTGAGACTCACTGTACTGTGTTTCCCTTTGATTGGTTAAAGCCACAACCTTCAGTATTGCTCCATGTGGAGACAGGGTCTACAAGGAGATAGCTAATCTCCTTGTAAATGGTAAATGGAGTTATAACACAAGTTGTTTTGACCCAATAAGCTTGATGTGCTTATCAAAAAGGAAGAGGCCCCAGCCTGCTTCTCATCCTGTTCAGTTCATCTGAGGGTCCACCAAGAAGTTGGCCAGATACAAGAGAGGAAAAGAATAATGACCAAGAGGCCGGTCGGTGAGAGTGTACATGTGGAACTTACCAGACTCTGGAAATGAGAGAGATACATTTCTGCTATTGAAGTCACTCAGCCCTGTCCATGACATATGATGACAGTCCCAGCTGACCAATACAAACACGTTTGTATAGTGTACTTATCTGTGGGCAGATTGAGGTTCGGAGGTGGGAAGTGACTTTCTAATTGAATAGTCTGGATTGAAGTTATAATCCATTGCAGGTTCTGTTAATGCTGTGAGGATTAAATATGGCAAGACAAACATGCACAGGGTATACATGCATCACACGCTAGGGTCTAGAAATGACGAAGAGCTGTTATACCTTGTGGGCCATCATATATTGAACATGAACAAATGATCTAAGTGTACTTCAAAATACTAATGGTAATTAAGTGTAATTCAAAATACACATGTAATAAAGGATAACTATTTGGCCTTTAAAAGGAAGAAAAATTGTCATTGGTTCCAATATGGGCAAATTTGTTGCATGGAATCAGTCAGGCACAAGAGGACTGTTTTCTCAGGTAGATTTGGAATCTGAAATTGTTTAACTTGACAGAAGTAGAAGGTAGAGTAGCATTTGCCAAGGCTGGGAGTGGGTATTGGGAATTGTTGGTCAAATGATGTAAAATTTCTGATTGGACAGTTGGATAAAATTGAGTTCTATTATAAAACATGGTGATTATAGTCAATGTCGTGTACTGTACACTTGGAAAAGTACTGAGTAGATTTTTAAATGCCCTTACTACAAAAATTAGTTTTAGGAAGTAAATATGAATTGCTCATCTGTAAAATCATATTGTCTACCATGAACAGATATAATTTGCTTGTTAAAGAAGACAAAATGAACTCATCTTGTAAATTCCACAAGAAAAACATAAAGTCCTGAAAAGCACAGATCCAGGCAGGGGAGATGGCTTAGTGGGTAAAGTGTTTTCCACACAGGCATGAGGACCCGAGTTGGATCCCCAGGACCTATGTAAACACATCTGGGCAGAAGGGGCAGCCAGCCACAATCCTGTCATGGGGAGTAAACAACAAGGGAATCAGAGACAGGGGTTCCCAGGGTCAAACTGTGTATCCAGACTAGTCAGAACAGGGACACTCTGTGTTCAGCAAGATCCAGATTGAGGATAATATCTGATACCAACGTTGGGCTTTTGGAAACACACACACACACACACACACAAAGAGGATATACCTGAGCACACATGTGTGCCCCCAAATGTCACATGCCAAAAAGAACTTTCATTAATTCAGAAAAATTTCAAAGGTCTAAGAACATCAAAGGCTAGAATAGAAAGCAACAGGACAGTTACCTAGAAGAGGAAAAGTTTCATACTCATGTTGGAAAGCAATATGGCAATACAAAATTGTTTTCAGGTAGTAAATTCAGTTAACCTACAAGTCAACAAGTGTGTTTTTCCATGACGTTCCAGGAGACACATGTAGACAAAACTAGGAAGAGACTGGGTTTCTACTAATAGGCCAAAAGATAGCATATATTTTGATATATTAATATTATATGGTATGTACAGATCTCAGGCAAAATGAACTAGATGTATAGATACCAATTGATGTGGATCTTAAAAAGATGACATTGTCTGACAGCCACCACCACCACCACCAAAACCAATGTAAAAACAGCATCCGATTTCTTAGATGCAGGTGCTAAACATATATTAGAAGAAGCCACAACTGTAATGGATACAAGTTCAGTGTTTTGGACTGAGGAGATTGCTCTGTGGTTAAGTTGTTTGCCATACGCGTATGAGGACTGGAGTCTGGGGCCTCAGAACCCACGTAATTACTGAACAGGCATGGCAGCCTGCTGTAATTCCAGCCTCAGAAGCTGAAGGAAAAGGATCCCATTGCAAGCTGGCTAGCAAGACCAACCATGTCAGTGAGCTCTGGGTTTTATTGAGAGACTTTGCCTCAATGAATAAGGCGGAAAAATTATTGAGGACAATTGCTGTTGGTTGTACTACAGACAGTTCCTGACATCAACTTCTGTTCCTTCACATGCATGTATGACACACATGTGCACTCTCACACACAGGGGAACACACATGCATGAAAATGGAAAGAAAACCAACAATAACAACAATTCCTGTTTTCAGTGGATTAGTTGATTTTTCTTGGGAGACAGAGGAGAGTAAAAATAGGTAAGGGAATTTGAACGACACCTGACATATTTTTTTTTCTTTAATACAGAAACAAATGTGGCTGATTGTTATTGTTTACTTTCAGGACTGACTCATAGACATGCAGTGTAGGCACTTTTGGAGGTTTCTTGGATTATCTTGGTTTTTACCCTCTAAGACTATAAGAAATTTGTTCTGGCTTCACTAGATACACGTGCTTCCTGCACTTGCTCCCAACCAGTCTGGCTCCCTGTGGTGATAATTTGTTTGTGATCTAACAAATAAAGCTTGCCTGAAGTTCAAAGTGCAGAGCTAAACCACCAGTTAGTCACAGAGGCCAGGCAGTGGTGGTACACACCTTTAACCCCACCACTCAGGAGACAGAAACAGACAGATCTCTGGGAGTTCAAAGCCACCGTGGCTATACAAGATTGATCCAGTCTCAAAGAGAAACAGAATCAGGTGGTGGTGGCTCATACCTTCAATCCCAGCACCAGGGAGGTGGGGACAGGAAGTGATATGGCTGGGCAGAGAGAGGAATATTAGGCAGGAGGAGACAAGAGCTCAGATTCAGTCTGAGGATGCAGTCTGAGGGTGTAGTCTAAGGATTCATAGAGACAGGATCACCCCTTCAGTCTGAGGATTCGGTAGAGGTAAAAGATTTCTCTAGTGGCTGGCTACATTGCTTCTCTAATCTCTCAGCTTTCACTGCCTAGTGTCTGACTCCAGGTTTTTATTATTAAGAACAATTAGAATTCGTGCAACAGTTCCTCCTACTATTTCCTGGACAAAGTCTGGTCTGATACACTGGCTGTGAGTGGGTCAAGTGAAACCCTCAGAAGTGTATCCAGAGATTGAAGTGGGGTCAAAGGGCTGAAGGAATCAGAAGACACATCCTTCCACCTTACTCGACTCTGAAGAATTTTTCTCCAACCCTGCTGATACTCCTAATAGCTGAGTGAATGGATCTTCCAAGGCATGGGGGTTCCATCTCTTGACAGCATACACTGCCTGTATCATCAGACCCCTTCTTGCATTTGTCCCCGCCCTCTTCTCCGCTCTTGTCTCTCCTCTGACTTTCATTGTCCTGGAGTTGTATCAGAAGCTAAGCATTACTGCACACCCTGTGCTCTAAGGAATCTGGAATTATCCGGTACTTCCTGCGTTTTTATATATTTCAGAAATAGCAGTGAAGGATCATTATTGCTCAATATATAGTGACTGATGTTATCAATATTGCTGTAGCTAAATTAAAATTAAACCCCACTGGCTTTATAAGTGCTAATGCTGAGAAAGTTAATTGTCAGGTGTGGCAGAAATCTAAACTACCGCATCCAATTTAGTTCAAATTTAAAATAATTTTTGTAATTAGTCTATAGTTCATATGCTGAAAAGTAGAGAGTTTTCCTAGACGTGTAAGCTGGACAATGTCTGAATGACATGCGTTCACAACAAGCCAATCCCTCAGTTTCAGGAATGACCGCACTCACGTGCCCAGTGCTTTTATTTTCGTGGCACCTGGGTTCACAAACACTGTAGCAGGTACTTACTCTCCGCTGTGGTTCAGGTTGTCGTAACTCAGAAAGAGACCCGCATAGATGGTCTCGGTCAGCAGGGCATAGATGGCGATCATCATCAGCAGCACAGCCAGCTTCAAGACAGAGTTCAGCCGGAGAAAAACGGCACAGGTCACCATGGCCAACACCCCCGTGAAGACGAAGTACTGCAAACAGAGAGCACAGGTGGTCAGACTCACAGGGACCTCCGAGGATCCCTCTGTTAGCTCATGCTGCCCCCTGGTCTCATTAGGAAGATTTTTTTTGTTGAACATTTCCCATGGGAGGTCGGGGGCCTCCTGGAATTCAAATTGAACTCTCCCCTCTCCTGCCCCCCAGTCTCTGCTTGCTCCCTGTCTCTGTGAGTGACGTCATCATTCACCTTATTGCTGTAAAAATACGTTTTATCGTTTTAGTATTTTATGTGCTCTGTCTGCATGTAGGTCTAGGTACTACATACATGCCTGGTGCCCATGGAAGCCTGAAGATGGTGTCCTGTTCTGTGGTATTAGAGTTACAGATGGTTTTGAGCTGCATGTGAGCGGGCAGTAGAAGCCCAGCCCTCTGGAAGAGCAGCCAGGACCCTTAACCACCAACCCATCTCCAGATTCTCATGAGAATCTCATGAGAAGGCTCCCCCTTCATGCCTCCTTTTCTCCCGTGTCCCTCAGTCAGCTATTTCAGTTTTCAGGCTCTTCATTATTTTCTGAACAGATCTCATGCCCACCCAGCTTTATCTACTTTTCTTGCTTTAGTTCTCACAAGCAGCTTGGGAAAAGTTTTTTTTAATAATAAATAATACTAATACTAACAACACATTGTCATTTATTTATATGTATGTGTGTGAATGCCACAGCATACATGTGGAAGTCAGAAGACAACTTGTGGGAGTCGGGGCTCTCCTTCCACAAGTGGGTTCTGGGATTTGAACTCAGACCGTTAGGCTTATCAGCAAGTGCCTTTATCCACTGAGCCATCCTGGCCAGTAGCCTCCCTTGTTTCCATCTAAATCTGTTGCTAGGCTTTCACACCTCTAAACACACATATGCACTCTCTCTCTCTACTTGGGATTTCTGGAACACCAGCCTGATCACGTTCCTCCTCACTGGAAATCCTTTCTTTGCTCTCCAGGCCCTCAAATTCTTCTGTCTCCCACACAGCGGAGCTCACGGGCTACCACGTACTAGCTCTCTCTTCACTCTCTAAAACCTTCTCTCACACCTCCGTGGCCTGGGGTTCAAATCTCATCCAGGTGACTAAGCCTTGCTTCTATTCACACATCAGGTGTCCTGTCCTCTGGGAAGCACCCCCAACCTCTGTGCCCTGCAGAGACAAGCATGGCATCTCCCACTCTATGTCAAGCATCACCGCTCTAATTGCAAATGTAGAATCACCCAAGAACTTGAGGAGTGGAGCAGTCTCCCAGCATCTACACAACAACCTTTCTATATTCTCTGAGAAACACTTTGGGCTATTTTCTTTACAGAACTATTCTGACATAAGCTGAGTGTTCGTTTAAGTTGGAATTAGTAAAAATTCATATTGTCAAAAGTCCATTTTGATCTCAAAATCTGTACATGTATTGTTTCTTGAAGCAGTCAAGGAAAGTACTCAGGATGGGACTCACAGCTCTCAATTGTATAGATTAAGAAACCAATGACTGTAGAGATAAATAAACCGCTCATGATCCTGAAGCTATAAAGAGGTGTCTTGGTCATCTAGATATGACCAGTTGAGTGGAGTGTGATTTTAGTGAAACTGAGGGGCTTGATAACACTACAGCTCTTTCATGTACACACTGCCTTCTCTCTTCTATTATACAGAGGGGCAGCTTTTATACAGATGAGAAGACAGGTAAGAATTTTTTAAAATCTCCGAGTACTGAAGATGTGCTATGAATTTCTTGAGTAACAGTAACTCATTTGTGCAACCCTTTTTACAAATATTGATTCAAATATGTAGGCAGTGTCTCAGATGACTTCCCATTAAGGACAAACTCCCTGTAGACTGGCTCAGAAGAGAATCAGATACCGTCTCTGCCCTTAAAGGCCGTCATTTGTTGCTTCCTTTAACCATGTCTGTTTTTCCTAATAAACCCAATTACCAATCCTTGTACCTAATGGAAGGATCAACTGTCTTCAGCTGTCCTCTAAGGTGTTTCCTTGGGCAAGATTTATATATATATATAGCTCATGTTGATTTGATACAGGAAGTCAGGTGTGAAGAGGCCAGATGTAAAATAGTTCCATCTGCACAGTTTTTCTCCATCCGGAGAAACCTTCAAGACGCTCTATTTTAATGCAGGCTATAGGCTAGGAAAATATATCCAAGGGATTTTGTTTCGTTGTTGTCTTTAGCGCAGCATATAGCTGTGCCTGGTTGTGTCAACTTAAATTATGAATCATGTACTATACCAAAATCTATTGAAATAATAGTGCCCTTGAAGCAAAACCTTTGGGGGGGCATAATAGTTGGATAAGAATGTTGTGCCCATTTAGTGAATGCTCATTGTAATCAGGATAGGTGATGGGAGGTTGAAGAAATAGATACGAATAGGCTAGGGCCTAAAGGGAATGAGAGTTAAAAAAAAAATATGAGGCAGGTATGAAAACGCCAATAAAAATGTACTTTGGTAGGAATGTGACCAACTGTGACAGGAGCATAGAGGCATAAGCAAGCATATTTCATGGAGAGAAGGCGTGGCTAAAGAGGGACAGGAAGAGGTGAGTTTATTTTGGGTCGTGAAGGGTGGACAACAAATAGGAAGACAAAATTGTCTAAATGCCAGGTATATGGAGCAGGGATAAACTAGAAACCTGGAATTATATTATTTTCATAGTAGATTAGCAATTTTATGTTTTTATGGTCTCAGTAAATTGTGTTAGTAGGTTCTTCCCATCTCTATTCCAGGGAAAGGAATCAACTCACTGACTTGCATGGTTTAGCCAAACTTCTGCTTTAAAGTTGAGACTTTTCAAATTCCTTAATACAGAAAGCATAAAAGACAATGAGGTCCTGAACAACCCCAGGAGTATATTCTCTGTCCCTTTTCTACCTCGAATGAATGGTAGGAGCTGAAACTAAGAAATAAAACAGGGCTACAGAAGTATCATGGCTTTGTGAAGCATTGCAAAACCTCTTTCTTTGGGTCTGGATTCATAAATTCTGTTTTCTGTAGCTTGGTAGATTCTGGATCCAGTATCCCTTGTTACTGGAATTCAGTTTGCCAAAAGATAGTCCTTGGGCCCTTGTTATCTTGCCCCAGGAAGACAGTTGAGCTAAAGTTGTATATATATATATATATATATATATATATATATATATATATATATATATATAATAACACTGTATATTTTCACAGTTACAATCCAGCTCTTTGATGAATTATTTTCTCTTGTAGTATATGTTACTGTTTCTTTAGCATGCACTATGAAGTAAGTTGTTTTGCATTGAGTTCTTACGTCCCTTGCAATCTATGTCCTGTCAAACAACGAATTTCTTCTGGATCTTTTAATGTCATGAGTATGAATAAGGTCATAATTAACATTTTTCTAATTCCAACAACAGCATAGATTTTCCCTTGTAGAATCTATGAATTCAAATTCTGTGTACTGGAGTAGTATAAACGATTTTTTTTCATTCCAAAAGAATCCAGTGTGTGTCACTCCTTTGTGAAGGTGAGTGTGAAAGTTAGGTTTCCCTTTAAATTTTGTTGACCATTAGTGCAAGGACAATTAGGCACAATCACTCACCGAATACATTTGTAGTGTCAGACTTTTTAGCAGACTGGTTAAAAAATCCGTTTAAAACTATATCAAATCATTCTACTATAGAATACATAAATTGTGTAGCCATACATACTAGAACTAACCTGGGAAATCGTGAATAAATCAAATTCCTCTAACTCTGAAAATCTTAGACTCACATGACTTGACAAACCCAACACTACACAAACTCCTTAGACAGAACAGCATGTATTCATTAATATATGATTGTTAACTGAGAACCTACCATGTGAACTAAGGGCCTACTGTGCTCCAGCTTGGATGGCTCCATATTCATATTAAGACTCCATCACAGCATACCATAAATTATCTTGGCATCACATAATATTTTCATCTTATAAGAGAAGCAAGGAGAACTTTACACCATCACAAGTGGAGAAGGAACTGGGTATTTACACATACAAGTCAGACAAACTGAACTCTCTGTGCCCATTTGGGTACTGCCCAAACCTATGTCATTCTAAACTCACAGGGAAAGAAGGAAAGAAATCAAGCTGACAGTTTCCAAAAGTCACTATGGTTGAGAAGAATAATCCAAACACTGATTGATGCACACACAACTTGGTCTCCAACAACTCCAGGTCTTGCAGCAAGCACTACAGTAAGGGTGAGCAGGCAAAAGATACAGTTGCGCCAACTGAACCTCAGCCTGGGCTCCTCGCTTGTTCAAGGAGTGAAGATGCCATAATTCAGGGTCACCACTGGTGAATGTGGGATTCCTGGACTGATATTCTGAGCTGGCTACTGGGTTGCGTTTTCTTAGGAAAGAAGCATTGTGTGTGTGTTTCATGTTGTGATGCAATGCTATATTTGATTTATTCTAAATTAAAATAGTCATGTTTGCCCTTTTATAAAATGTTTTTTAACCTATTTTTGGTGTATAAAAATGATTTTAACCTTGATTTGCCCACTAATACTTACTATTTTTTCCTGTATTACTAGTTTTGAGCAATCTGATTATTGTGTGCGTGTGTGTTTAATGTCTCTTATGTCTGGTGTTGTTTAGGAAAATTCTGATCTATAGCTTTCATCAAAATTGGAAAGAAATGCTCATTAATTATGTAGTTTGTCTTTTTTTATTCTTGTGGGAGAGGACTCAAATTATGGAGGTGTTATGCTGCTTAAAATTGGACTTAATGATAGCTTTGATGGCTGTTTTGTCTTGTAATTTATTTTGGACACGTCGATTGCTTTTCACCAGTTTTACTCTTATTTTTCTCTATAATGTCTAATATTACAAACTTCCTCCCAGTATAGTTTTCATCTCACATTTAGTAGTTTTTACTTATAAATGCTCAGTTTGGATTCTACATATATCTTTCAGTTTTTTTAAGCATATGAAATAAAATAATAATTATTTTATTGCCTGTTTAGTAGTTATATATAAACACCCAGTTCTGGCTTAATTTCCATTCATTGATTATTTCCTTCATTATCAATAATAGTTCATTTTAATGTCTGGTCATCATTGATTAAATGCTAGCCACAGCGATTTTTTTCTTCCAGGAATCTTTATCTTATTTTTTTTATTGTTTTATTTTTGTCAAATCCTGGATGTTTTTAAATTCTTATGAGTATTTTCATGATTCGTTCTAAGATAAAATAAAACCACAGTATAAAAGTTTCATTTTTTTTTTAAAAAATTACATTTACATCTTATTTAAAGGAAGGATCAGAGCAGAATATAATCTAGGAATTGACACTTAACACCACCGAAGCCTTTAGCTCCTGCTCTGCCAAGTGTCCAGTGGGCTGTGACGTGTTTTGGTCAGTGCAGGGTCACACGCTGTTTTCAGCCCACGTGAGCTGCAGATCCTGATTAACTCTGATGCTTTTCCCCGTCTCTGAGTTTTACGTGCTTGTGCCGATTGGGCACTCTGCAGCTCGGAGCCTTTCTCTGTGCAATCCTCTTCTCAATGGTGGGGCACTCTGCAACCTCTAAGCCGCCTTACCCTCTCCTGACTCTTCACTTGCTTATTCTCGAGGCACAAAGTCACTGTGTTGCATCTGGCTTCACCTCCCTGAGGCATGGTCTGGATAAAACTCACAGCATTTCAGGACTCAGTCCATTTGCTTCCTACCTCTGGGGAATCACCGTCTTCATTGCTTGGTGTTCAGTGTCTTACAAGATACAGTTCATGGGCTACGTTTGTTTGTTTGTTTCTATTTGTCCCAAGTGGAAATGGAGATCTTGCCCTGTTATTCATCTGAAGGATGAGTAAATATTGTTAAATAGACAGTAGGTTCTGTCCTGAGGTCTTTAGGTAATTTTACAGTAACATTACAATATCTACCTTTTACTCTTAAAAATGTATAAATATGAAGTGGTTTGAAGCACTGGAAAAAATTAGGTACAAGGAATGTATGTTAGTGTGCCCTAAGATGAAGCCATCAATGTGTGTGATGTGGGAAAGAAAGGCGTGGACAGTAGATGGACTCAAAAACGTGACTCCAGGATGCAGGACACAGATAGCCAAACCTCTACTGGAAAACTCGCTCTCCTGGACCATAGCAAACCCTGGCCACTCTTACAAACAGTGATCTTCTTGAGCAGATGGAAAATGAAGTAAAGAGATTTGATTCTGAAATGAGGCTTTTTTCAGGGTTGAAGAAGATCACCCTCTGGGTTACACATGAGATCTGCATTCATTTTATAAACAACTGGTGCCTTTCCCTTCCTCAGTTGGAACATGGATTCTTTTCATCATTTCCTTTATCTTTACTCTTCTCCTGTACGTGACAGGCTTCCAATTTAGAACTTAGTTATTTTTTGCATCATAGAACTGCTTTGTGTTTATATCGGATCATCCAATTTGGTAGAACGCTTTCAACTAGGTAGGCATGGTTTCTCATAGGCTGATGTGCAAACATCATGTTGATAGCAGAGGAAACCAAGGCTCAGAGAAATGACATGTTTTGCTTGGGGACAGACCCTTGTGAGATCTGGGAGCTGAATGAAGCCTTCAGAGTTTCTGAATGTTTAATTTTTTCTAGATTGGCAGACAGGAGCCTAGAGAGAAACACAGATGTGCAGATTGAAGTGGCAAACTCTAGGTCGAGGCAAGTGGTTGTTATCACAGCTGGAGAATTAGTTCTTTGACTTTAGTTTGAGGCACAGAGACAAAACTGTGTGATCACAAAGCTTGCCCACCCAGACCTTAGAGCTAAAGAAAAGCAAAAACAAACCCAAAAATCCATGAATGCTGTGTTCCTGAGGTGTGAAACTCACATGTGTATTCAGGTATAGAGTGCCGACTTGGAGAGACAGGGAACACAGGTTAGTACACCATGAACACCTGCTTCATGCCAGACACATGCTAGGAGCTATGTATTTGCTAAGCCAATAGACAGCAAGGTATTCATTTTCCCATTTCATAGATGAGGAAACAGACCAGAAAAAGTAAAGTCCAGCTTAGACAAACTGACTATCCACATCTTAGCTTTCCTTTACTCTCAGTGTTGGGGTGCTCCCTGTGTTCTTCAAACCAAGAAGTTCTTAGGAAGCCAGGATCACACAGAATCTTATACACTAAGGAGGAAACAAGCTGTGTGATATTCCCATCCATCCTTGCACATCCCCAGGAAAAGTCTGGTTTCTTCTCCTTCTAGGACTAGGACAAAAAGTAAGGAATCTATAGAACAAGCGCCAGTACCAAGCCGTTATAACTGAGTTAAAAGAGAAAGAAAGGAAGGAAAGGAGTGAGAAAGGAAGCAAAGCAGTAAGGTAGGAGTGTGACTGAGCAGGCTACTTTCTGAACACTAGATGTATTATTAATTATAACACAGTGGCGGCAGCAGCCTCTCCTGTGCTCGTAGGTGTACACAGAGGATTCAATGGTTCTCAGTCCTATTCTTAGACCCAGAGAGACTAGCGAGAACCTTTTCTCATCTCACATGTTGGAGAACTCTCTGAGTCTGTCACCTCTTAGAGGATCAGGTCTACCCCTGGTCCTCATAATATGGGATTGGATGGGGTCTTCAAGAGCTATCAGCTAACATCTTTTCTGGCCTAGAATTTCTACTCTAATATACACAGGTCCAGACTAACAGATTTTGTAGACTTACCCTAAGACCCATGGATTGATTAATGACTCTGTGGTCAAGAGAGGGCTAAACATGCAACATGATGGCAGGCATCCTCATGAGATGTTGTCAGAACCAGTGGTTCTCTGGAAACCGCCCCTACCATGTTGACTTCGGTTTAGCTGTAGTTTTCTGTCTTTCTTTTTCCTATTTTCTTTATTTCCTTCTTTTTTCTTCTTTCCCTTCCTTTCTTCCTCCCCTTCTTCTTCCTTCCCTCTGTCCCCTTTATCACAGTGGGAGCAGTACAATTACTTGACCACAGAGACCCTGACACAATCTCCTACTGGGTCAGCTTGGATGAGATGATTAGGAGAGAAAGAGACACAAGAAATGCATCAATGTATAATGGGGAAGGTGAAAAAGGAAGAAAGGAAGAAAAATGGAGAGAGGAACAGTGAAGTGTGGGTAAGGGAAAGACGCAGAGGAGGGAGCAGGCACAAGGATGGAGAGAGAGAGAGAGAGAGAGAGAGAGAGAGAGAGAGAGAGAGAGAGAGAATGGGGTAAAGAAAAGACGGAAAGGGAGGAAGGAAGGAAGGAAGGAAGGAAGGAAGGAAGGAAGGAAGGAAGGAAGGAAGAAAGAAAGAAGGAATAGGCAGGAGTTACACGGGTTCTGGAGCAGCCACTAAGACCCTTTGGCCAGTCTTGTGCCCCTGCGCTGGTGGAGGTGTTCATGTCCACCTGTCACCACTGGGAACTTGCAAATAAATACCTCTGGGTAGGAGCAGATATCTGTAAACACAGCTGAGGAATTGAAAGTCAGGTTCTTCAAGGGTATCGACTTGTCAAAATCACACCACAGCTGCGGATTAAAAAAAAATAAAAGAACAGCAACAAAAAAACAAAAAGACACAGGAACAACAGTCAGTGTGGGTGTTGGGAGGGGGACAGTGTGCTAGCGCTGCTGGCTTTCAGCCAAAGCCAGGGGTAGGAGGGCCTAGAGGGGCTTGCCTGCCAGGAGGGAGGCAACCATTCCTTTCACCTCTTTTATTTAAACAAATAAGCACTGGCTCAGAAAAAGGCTTCTGTAAGCCAGTCACGAAACTGGGTTAAGATGGCTCTGTTTGCCCTGTCACTTTGGGACACTGGAGTGTGTTTGTAGGGCACAGAAGAGAGCTAGAGAACGGGGGAAGAGGTCTGAGGTGAACTGATAGATAGCCTGTCTCCAGATACAAAGCTGGGAGAACTTAAAGGATCTGAAGGGGACACGGTTTCTAGAAAGACTCTTAACATTGGAGTGATGGGCATCTCCTAGGGCTGGTGTTACCGCTGAAGGCTTTTTGGCATTCCAGGGTCACATGCATTGGGTGAAAACCTCCTCTGTGCCAGACACTTAGTTCAGAAAGCCCCGCAATCATCTTGTGAGGTAACTGCTCACTTTATCCCCAGTTTACAACCGAGAAATTTGAAACTCTGAGAGGTAAAGTAACTTGTCTAGGGCCACCACGCCAGTGACGGATAGAGCTGAGAATCAAACGCAGGTCTATCTGACTCCAAAGTCTCCTAGCTTCCTGCCACACCAGTGATGTAGTGTTATCCACCTACAGCTTTTTGGAGTCTTTTCGAAATCCTCCACCCCTCTAAATCTACTTCATCAAGAATCGCGATGCTAGGTACCAGTTCACTTCATGTAAATCTGAAACTCCATATCCATCCATTTCAAATTGCTCTATACAACATTCAGTGGATGAGCACACCGATAGAGGATGGCTTTTCCTTTATTTTGTTCGAGTCTTTTACAACAAGGTCAGCAACAGAGCTTATACAGCAAACAAGAGGCAATCTAAGCCCCCACTTCAGATGCCGAACAACAACAGGGAGAGTATGAAGCTTGTGTCAGTGAACGCTCAGGTCCATTATCACATGGCTCAAAGGGCACAATGATACTTTTATCCACAGACGATGCCTCGAGTAGACTGACTCCACATGCCAAGGTCAAGACCAGAGTTAGATCAAGCACCTCTAATCTAGCCTGGGCCATAGACAACACAGACTGTATATATACAGAAATACCTGTTGCCTTCCTGGTCTGACTCTATAGCAAAAACAAAACCACTGAAACGTGAACCATCAAATTAAAAGCATCCATGAATATTATGGTGGTTGTGTGTTCCTCTGAGTTCTATGTGCCGCATCAAATATGAGTCCTCAGAAAGCCATAGACAAGACTCAACTCAGAAAGCCATAGACTCAACTTTTCTAAAGCGAAATGCAGTTTCCTCATCCATCAAACATGGAGAATAATACCCACCTGTTGCACATAGTAGGTACTCAATAAGTGTCAGCTATTTTGATTTCATTCCCCCATCCTGCCCTCTTCCCAGAGATGCATTTTAGCACATCAGGTTGAGCACGGGTCATGGAGTCAGACAGACCTTATTAGTAAGTTATTTCATATCTCTGAGCCTCAGTTGCCTCAGCCATAAAGTGGGGATAAATGAGACTTACCTCATAGGGTTTATGTGGGGTTAAAGTAAGAAAAATGTGTGATGGTCTTCCTTCAATGCATGGCACATAGCAGGTAGGTCCTGATACTTAATAAATCAATTACAACTTTTATTTACCATTATAATTTATTGGCCGCTGACAGTATAGAATCTGAAGGCCAGCGAAGGATCTTTGGGACAACTAAGCTCCCCTGGTGGGTTAAAGATAACTTTCCCACAGTAAAATACACACGTCTACAGGGGCCATTATCTTGTCCTTCATCCCCGAGATTGGGACTGAACTGGTGCACGAATATAAGGTACCATGGAAGGGCAATATAAGAAGCTGCTGGTTCCATAGGCTCTTAGTTCCTGACTCTACATTAGATACCACAGGGCTGAAGGGCTTGGAGGATGCTTACGATATTTAGGACTGCTCCCAGGAAATTAATCAGGATGGAAGCGAAGATGATGACGTTCCGGGCCAGATATGTTTCATTAATCCAACAGCAGGTTTTGCGGAGGACAAGGGGCAGACACTTATAGTCCTCTGCTGTGGTGATGAGGACCAAGGCAGAGTGCAGCAAGATCAGAATGGAGAACTGGATGGTCATCGGCATCAGCCTGCAGGAAACACAGAATGTGGGTCATGTGGGCACAGGTCAGCTCATCCCCACCAAACAGCCCTAACAACCTTGTTCATGTTCTGCCTTCCCCACCCTGTGTCCCGTTCCTCTGGAAGGAATAGGAGATGGTTGGCTTGATTTGTCTCTTCTCTTCTTTCTCCCTTTGTCTTTCATCTCTCTTTCTCTCTCCCTCTCTGTCTCTCTTCTTTTTTGGGGGGAGGGGGCATGAATGCATGTGTGTGCATGAATTTGGTATGCACATTCATCTCTCTCTCCCTCTCTGCCTCTCTTCTTTTTTGGGGGAGGAGGCATGAATGCATGTGTGTGCATGAACTTGGTATGCACATTCACATGCATGTAGGTGCAAATGTGTGATATGTGTTTGTATGTGGATACATGGAAGGCAGAGGGTGGCATCAGATGGGTTCCTTGGTAACTTTCTACCCATGTGTCGAAAAATCACTAGAACCCATACCTTGTCTATTCTCCTATTCTAGGTAGCCATGTTGCTCTGAGAATGACCAGTCTCTGTGTCTGCTTCCTGGGTGCTAGAATTACAGTGAACTGACACTCCTACCTGGCATTTACCAGGAGAACTGAACTGAGTCCTCAGTCACACTTGAATGACTGTTACTTTACCCACGAAGCCTCAGCCTATTTTATATGGCATCTGCTCCTAAGACACTACACTATACGCAGTATTTCATCAACGGGCTGTGGGAGAAAACCCATCACATCCTTTTCCCCTTCATGGAAGGTTTTATGACTTGTTCTCTCTCCACCTACTCACCTACTCATAAATCAGCTCAGTATTCAGTTGGGTTAATGATTATTATGATTTTCATGGAATATATTACAAGCCATTGCCTCTCTAAGTAAGAAGTATAGTTTAGGGCAAGAGTAAGTATTCATTCCTAAGTCATTAACATTCCTTCTGAGATTTAAGATCTCATGAGACCTTTGTCCCACAGACGCCTCTATCTATTGAAAACCTTCAGGGTGTCTCTATCAATGTAGGAATCTATTAGTAATATTCTGTCTTTGGAGATGTCTCTAATCGCTTTCTATCTTTATCAATCAGTTCATCACTAAGTTTGCTCCTCTCGCTGGGACTTGATCCCTTGTCCTCTGTTTTGTGACTATTTGTGATCTACACGGGTAGCTCTTGTTTTCTTAGGTCTCAGCCAGTAAACTGTTGCCCATTATTAAAGGGTGCCTTTGTAGATGAGGCGAGACTGTCATCTACTACAGTGATCTGCTTCAAGAGCTTCCATATGCTAGTTCTTTAGACAACTGCTTCCACTAACACTCTCTCTTGCTGACCTTCTGCCAGAATAATGATTGAGCTCTACGTGCCAGCACCTGGAGCCCTTTTATATGATACCTAATCTCCATTTCTAAAAAAAAAAACCAAGAGACATTAAACCCTCTAGACGAGTGTTTAAAGCTCACAGGAAGGTAGTTTCTCATGGGTAATTCAGCTGAGAAGTGTTGAAGCTGGAATTTAAAGTCCTCAATGCTATGTAATTCTACTCCTAATACATTTAAAGAATGATATGTGCATGTTGCCAGTAATTATTTTTGCTTCTCTGGTTTATAATGCTATATATTTGTTAAATAAGCTTTCTTCTCATGCAAGATACCAGAACCAGAACTGTATCTTCCATATCATCTAGGGGATCCTAACCTAGAGGAGAATATGGCTATGCAAATGACAAAATAGTATTATGTAGTGATCCATAACAAGTCATAAAGAGCTATCATTTGGAAGGCAAGAATAGGAACCCAGGGAGGCTCCAAGAAGGAGAAGATACTTGGGGTTGACTTTGCAGAATTAAATTTTTTTTTGTAATGTAGGAACAAGGGAGAACATGATTAAGGCAGTAGAGGAACTAGCATTGCCAGTGTTTGGAGTTTGCTAATATGTCTATTAGACTTGGAGAAGCTAACTAACTCCTCTTAGCATCATTAAAAAATACTACAAAACTAGAATTTTTAGCCTTATATTTTAAAGAAGGCTTTGAGGGAATAGAGTAACCTATTCACCCTAGAATAAAAGATCCTCTTTCTTTTGCTGATGAAGCTCAGGATATTAAAGGTATTTAAAGGTATGTGAGAAGAGTTCTGAGTATCAGACAGGCTTTTACTGCTGGGTGCTGGTGCTACACGGAAAATTCCTCTGAAAGTTTTTTTTTTCATCCCCTCGGTGCTCATTTATTTCTGCACACATAAACATCATCGCATCCTATTGCAGATTTCATCTAATTATAGATCCATCCAGACATCCAGGGTTTCTGCCTTTGCTTTTTTGCCTTGATGCTGCACATGAGACAAGGAAACCTTTCATTTCTGAAGTCGAGACTCCAAAAGAATGACAAGGGACTTTTCAAACAGCTCTATCTGAGTCCTCTCTAGGCATAGGGTTCTAATTACCCTCTGAAGTCTGTGTTTAAAATACAGATTGCGGTGGTAGTACAACTGACATTTGCTGGAGAGCCAGAGATCAGTTGAGAGGTGTGACCAGCCCACAGCAGCTGTGGTTCAATAGGATTCAGAAGTTCAGAACATACCCAAAGATGACATTTGTATGAAACTTCAAAATCTGCAAAGAGCCTGTGAGTGCAATGTCACATTTGATCTTGGAGCAACTCCAAGAGATTGGTGTTCCTAGCTTGCTCATCAGGTACGTAACTTGTGACTTGGGAAGGAGAAAAAAGCCAGAACTGCCCCAAATGGACAAGATCGATTTACTTGTGGCATTCCTGAGAAGTGGGCACTTTTACTCCCATTGTTGAAAATATCTTTAAATATCTATTTTGTTTTTAATTATGTGAATATATGTGTGTTAGTGTGTAGATATATGCACATGAGTGCAGGTACCCTTGGAGTTCAGAAGAGTTTTAGCATTAGAACCCTAGGAGCTAGAGTCACAGGTGGTTATGAGTTGCCTGATATAGATGCTGCAAGTCGACCTTGAGTCTTTTGCAAAAGCAGTATGAATTTTCTAGGCTTTTATTGAATGTCTTAATAGGCATTCTAAGGCTAACCCCCCCACCCCCATCTTACAACAATATAACCCGTTCTTGTGACCCCTGGTGTCTTCTAATATGACTTTAACAACGATTGAAGGATTTTTTTAAAGTAACAAATTGTTCCAGTCTTGTTTATCCATCAGTTGTCTCCAGAAGACCATAAAGAATAAAACATATAATTATAATAGGGGATGTATTAGATTGACTTAGAGTCTGAGTGGCTGTTTTTGGGGGTGGAAAACCAGGGACCCATTAGCTGCTCAGTAAATGAATGGCTCAGAACAATAGGAATCAACAGTGCAGTTCTGGATAGAAGTCAGCCTAGAGACCCTGAAAAGTTCAAGTTCATGTTCAAAGGTGTTGCTACATTCAGAGCGGGTCTTTTTAGTTCAGTCCACCATCTCACACGTCAGTCACCTCAGAAAACCCTCTCACAGGCACACCTAAAATGTGTTTTCCCAATTTTCTAGACGTCTCTCAAATCCACTGAGCAGACAAAAGAGATCCTCATCATAAGGCTTGTCTTGTATAAGACTTTGTTAGGAACCCTCGCTCCGGAACTAGATCTGCTGCAGTGTTGGAATTAAGGCTGTAATGCTTCAAATGGGAAACCTATTTCAGCACTCTGAGCTCTCAAGTCTCTTCTCTTTATAAAGACAACATTGAGAGTAGCTACATAGGGAGTTTGTTACAGAGATTTTCCTGAGTTATTATTATTATTATTATTGTAAAGTGTTTGTAAGTGACTGGCCAATGTCTAAGTGTTTGTAGAGTTGACTTTCAAATTTGCTGACCTAGAAGTGATGACGCAACTATGAATGACTCATCTGGACAAACAAACAAATGACTGAGCCTCTTATACTTCATTGCTTTCTGCACTCATGGTACGACAGATGCAGACTATTCCTGTTTGTGATACTACTTAATTAATATTAGGAAAGATTTTTGCCTAGGCAGAGTGGAGAGAATATCATGCATAGTAAGACAGTAGGAATAGACCCAGGATTGTTGAGCACATAGGTTTTGGTCCTGGACCGTTAAACACTGAACCTTCAAAAAGGTGAGTTGAATGGTTCCAGGTGAGGGCCCATCATCCCTCAGAGACAATTCAGCTGCCGTCTTAACCCTTCCATACTTACCTTGAAGAAGGAAGCAAACTTTGAATCGCAGTGATGAACAGAAGAACGATAAATGCACAGACCAAGTTTGACTTGAAAACTTCATCTCTCATTTGAGAATACTGCAATTTAGAAAAAAAAGTAGAATCAATTACTTTGTAGCAGAGTTGGGGTTTTAAAGGAGATAAGTTGTATCAGTTTGAGGTTAAGGGGAAACAACAATGCAATATCTTCTTGAAAATGTTCAGTAGGAAGCTGTCTCTTCTGAAATCTTCATCTCCAGGCCTCCCACAAATTTTCCTCTGAAATCCCAGGAATCAATATATTCCTTCTCTAGCAAAAGGACCCGTGAGGGCTTATGAGTTCATCCAGCTCCTGTCCCAAAAGTTTTTATCATTTAACAAAACAGAACAGCCCTTGCCATGTACCCCGCAGCTCAATCTCCTGTGGACTTTCCTCCTAATCAAAACGAAAGTATTTAAGAATGGTGTTCTATTTATTGTGAGGCGAGGGGACATAGACAAATGCCTTGTGAGGGAATCTTTCTACCTTCTTCTAAATAAGAACCGTTGAGAATAACGTCACAGAATTGAGAGTTTAAAGCAGCTCACAGGACTTCCACTCATGTAGCCTCTTGCCTCACTGAAGACAAAGCAAGGCCGATGGGCTAATATGCTCATACCATCTGTTGTTCATTCTAGGCAGCCCTGGAAAGTGGTGGTAGCATTATTAGATTACCCAGAGTACTCAGTAATTTCATCGTTGCCTTTAAAAGCTGGTCAAATGTTGGAGATTTGTATTTGCCTCACTCTTTCCTCGTTTCCCTGAACTTTTGTAGAGTCATTAAACTGCAAAATAATAATTTATAAAGAGGGACAGAGGGCTTAAAACTGTGAGAGGCATTAGAATCATGTGAAGCCAAGTCCCTCACTTTGCCTTACCGACAGAAAAGTCTAATGCATGGCTGTGGATCACAGAGAATGCGGATTCTTATCTTAGGGTGAGGGAGGAGGCACACAGCTAAACCTGCCACTACAATTTTGTAATCCTTGGGGTCACTTCACCCAGGTAGCTGGTCAGTGTCTCTCTCATAACCTTTAGGCTCTTCATCCACAATAGATAATAAAGGTTTAAGTCAGGTCAATGAAATGACAGCGTCAGTCCATTTTATCGGACTAATAGTTTGAAATAGCAGTTACAGGATTTTGACTTCTGTTTGTTGTCTAGGTTGTCGACAGTAAACTTATGGCTCAGAGTCATGGCTGAGGTTTTGGCAATGACCAGTAGCTGGTCAGCAACCCGGGGGAGGGACCATGCTGCTCAGAGAATGTACACCCATTGCTTTTGCAGAGAAATGCCTTTCTCATTCTCAAGCACCGGGGCTTCTGTTCAGCTGCTGACAATCTGCTTGGTATCTGGAGGGGATCCAGGAACTCCCCAAAAATCTCTATAAACCACACTCTCTCCTGATAAAGCTTCTGAAAAGTTCACCTTGTTAATAATTGTCAATAGTGCAGCCTAGGGCCAGACTCAATCATAGTGACACATTCAGGCCAAAATGAATTAGTTACAAGACATAATCCAAAGAAAGATAAATGTCTGACTTCCTTATGATATCTCACTAGATGCAGTCTAATTTTTTTACTGGTTGACTGGTAACCAATTTGACTGTAGAGACTCGATACTGGGATTTTACAAATATCACCCCCAATCCTTAGTGTATTTAATCATGTAATTTCATCATTATTACTATCATCGTCATCATTGTCATCAGCATGCTAGTCTCTTGAAGTTATGGCAGACTTTCCTAGTTCTAGATATCTTTCACATGTACTCAAATATCTGCTGATTACCACCAGGTAACCACCTCTGCTTTGTCAGGGAAGCAGAGTTTCTGTCTTAAACCTGGTTAGGGACTTCTAGATTATAAACACCCTTTGCTTAAATGATCCAGTGCCTAAGTCTAGGCTTTCACTCTTCTCTAGGGTTCCCATTTGCAGGCCTTTTCTAACTTGGAGAATATCAGGGATATCAGTAGGCATCAAACTGTCCCTATGGCTTCTTTCCTGAAAGTTTCTTACTGATGACATTTAAACAGTTACACATTTATCATTGGTCCCAACTAAAGTTGAAGGAAGTTTTGTGCTTGTCATTTTGTTCAAATACGAAGCTGGTGGAATCAAGTAGGAAGACTGGTTTTTGTCTCCAGCCACATCGGTATTTCTCTATGAGCAAAGCTGATTTCTTTGAAGATCATTTCTCTTTTCTGCCAAATGGGGACATAGAAGGTTTGCAATGCTAAAGCATCCTGTTACTTTCATGTTTGAGTTTCAGTTCCTTGCACAGCCATGAAAAGAAAAAAAAATCTGTGCCATTGATGTCAATCAAACATAGAATACTGGGTTTTAGAATGGAATGCTTTGTGACTTTGAAATACAAGGAGAGAAGGCTTATGAAAAGAAAATTCCTAATTGGCTCAGGATGTTAGAGTATCAAGACTGAGTGCTGATTCACTGAGCTTCGTTTTGACTTGTGAAGGTCTGAACACTCGGGTGCCTGGCTATATTAGGTTTGTTATAGGCACCTGCTTTCCCAAATTAGACATTCTTTGTCTCATCTGTGTTCTGTCCTCAAGTGACCACACTTATCTTTCTATACTTCAGCTGTGAGTATGAAGTAACCCAGGGCGTGACTACCTGTTTTTGAACCTTAGCTTCCACACTTATTGGCAACAGAACTTGGGGCATATCCACTAGACTTTGTTTATCTCACCTTGCAAATGGGTGTGACAGGAGTCACTCCGAAGGGTTGCTGGAAAATCAAGCTGAGTTCATGTGCACAAAGTGCTCAAAGCCATGTCATGTGAAGTATCACGTGTCTGATACTACGAATCAGAAAGTAGTGCAACATTTTGTTCATGTCTGGAGATGTGGGCCCTGGAATCTACTGAAACGTTAACCCTAGAGTAAGTCCGAGCCCTGAGGGTCAATGGGCTCTAGATTCATCCTAAGGAAACTGAGAAATCTATGTATTTATGTAGTCACAAGGAAGAAAAATCCATTCCAGAGTCTTCCTCCCAGAGGGATGGTCAGAGAAAGTAGTTGCAGATGTGATGGACAGTGCCTCTTGCCTTCTCTATCTCTGTTCTTGAGACAGTCCTAAAAGTATTCCTCAGTGAGGAGGAAGGAAAACATCCTACTCACCAGGATTCTCCACCTCTAATACAAATAACAGTGTTCATTATGCTCTTACATCCCCCACATGGTGTGGATGGTTCTTCCAGGGAAAGCAATGGGGCAGATAGCTCTCCAAAGTTCAACTGTGCACTTTGGGCCTCATTGTGATCAATATAATAATCTCATCAATGAAGTGGGCTATGTTTAGTTTTGTTCAACTTTTATCAACACCAATAGTTCTCAATAATATCACTCAGAAATTAGTGTTAGCTCAGTCCTAGGTATTTCTTGTTATAGAATAAGTAAACTATTTTTTTTTAAATTTCACTCCATCTTTGGAAAAGCTAGCTTTAAGAAAGGGGATTTTCTCACACAGCATTCATTCGTCTAAATGAATATGTTTGCTAAATTGAGTCTCAATTGAGACAAACTGTTAATTCTGTGGAAGAGAATTAAGTAATTTGACCCCTGTTAATGTTAAGTTTGTGTTTCATATTCCATGGTGATCGCCTAGAGCGTCCTTAGGTTATATTATTTGGACAAATGGAATATCCATAACAAAACACGCATCTACTCTGTTGTTGGGGACTGTGAACCCCCAGATCTTAAATTTCTTGTAAACAACTTGTTTTTCTCTGGTCTGAGACAGCTTGCAGCTGCTCTGAGCACTGAGCATGAGACCCTCGGGAGTTCCTGATGGCAGAGAAGTGATTTCTGGTGGGTTTGGCTAGGCCGTGACTATCCCTATATAAGCTGCTCCTGGACACAATAAAGGGGACATTCCTGTTTCAGGGCTGACCCATGTCTCTGTCTCTCTGTCTGTGTGTCTTTTTGTGTTTAAATCTACAGTCCCTTGCCCAGCTCATGAATTGTATGGTAGCGCATAGAGCACAGATGGGCATGGTGTGCTACACTCTGTCATAAAATTTAAGTTTTTAAATAATATCTTCTCCTTTTCTCACTTCTAGTCCAATAAAATCAGTAGCAACAATTCTACAAGTGACCATTTGCTCAATCTCGTACCACCTCACTTCTTCCAGGAACCTGATGTGAGAGCGAAGGTGTATCTTTTCATGTTTAAATGACTCACAAAGAAACATGGTCACCTGTGTCCGAGATGAGCTGTGTCATACGTGTAGAACAGGAAGGCACACTGCTTCCCATCTATAAGACGGTAAGTGGTAGTATCCTTGGTAGGGGATTGGACTGACTATTGCACAAGCTATGGTGAGACTTAAAGAATAGTATCTCTTCCGGGTTCTTTGTTTAGAAGGCCCTGGTTGCAGACAATAATGCTTTATCATGAAGGAACGGAATTGGGTCAATGACCTTTGGGATGAAGTCTTTCCAATTCTGTCATTCCTCATCCTATCACTGGAGGCAGAAATGGTATTTCTCACGTTGAACGCCACTGATTTTGTGAGACAAGAGATGGCTAATGGATTTAATAAAAATACACAAGTGAAATGGCCCTTGAAATCATTTGACCGCCTCGAGGCTGGTATAAATGGCAGTATTTTACAAGGGGTTATGAGGATGGGGAGTCCTGCAAAGCTGATGTCTAAACAAGGGTAGTTTTATTCTTTGAGTTCCTTTGAAACTTGTCCTTCATACTTGGAAAAGGAGCCCTAAATACTCCTGCTCTTTTAAGACTTACATGAACAGCAAAAAAGAACTAAGAGAAGCCAGATGTTACAAGAGAATCATTTCTTCAAAATAACCTTGGAAATGAGATCATGAGGATGATGAGGAAGTGCCTGATTTAGAGAAACGAAAACAACAACTGAGAGCCTTTGGTTGATGCTCCATGTTCCAACCTATGCCATCCAAACAACGAATGGAGGGATGCAAAAATTTCTGATTATTTCCAAGAAAAGATGTGCATGGGTTGCTTATGTGCACATATGTGCTTATTGTGTTTGAGAGGCCGGCATCAGAACCCACCA